GAGATTCATCCCAGGATAGGCAGAAACCCCAGGATAAAGGATGGAGGAAGAGAATGAAGCCAGTGATATTCTCTAACATGAAAGAAAAAGAAGAGCCCAGGATGGAGAGACTAAGAGAATAGATACAGGAAGGCTGCTTCCCCCAACAGCCCCTGCCTGTGTTTTATTAACCTCCAATTACTTAAAAGCTCTGAGATCCATGAGAGCAGGCTGCCCATCAGCTTCTCCAAGTCCCTTCTCCACTGGCACATGTAACTTGCAGCTTCCCTTTGGGCCCCACCAGCCTGGCTGCAGTATCCTGTTTTCTGTTCATTGCCAGATTTCTGGTTGGCTGCCACCTAATATCTTTTGGGCCTGGACTAATTTCTTGCAGTCCCCAGGAAGCGTTGTTAATTCTCAAGTCCTCCCATCTGGTGGGTCCAATCCCCACCCTCTGTACAGCATGCACATTTTCTATGATTTACACTTGCAGCACGATAGAGTTATGATGAGCCTTAAGGAGTACAGACAGCCCTGATGCTCAGCTCCCTTCCTCCGTTTTGCTTGTTTACAGCTCCCTGGGTCCCTGTTCCCTAGAGTGTGCACCAAGTTACATGTATAGATGCAGGGTAGAGAAGGTTCTAAGGAGTGTAGAGACAGTCCATAATAAACCTGGAGTTTCTCTGCTGATGTGTACAGAGATCAGAATGTCTGGAGCCTTCACAGACCTGGCTAGGAGCAGATATGGATGTGATGGGCCAGGCCATGATCTTACTTATTTATTTATTGAAGATTTCTGCCTCCTCCCCGCCACCACCTCCCATTCCCCCCCCCATCAAGTCCCCCTCCCTCGTCAGCCCGAAGAGCAATCAGGGTTCCCTGACCTGTGGGAAGTCCAAGGACCACCCACCTCCATCCAGGTCTAGAAAGGTGAGCATCCAGACTGCTTAAGCTCCCACAAAGCCAGTACGTGCAGTAGGATCAAAAACCCATTGCCATTGTTCTTGAGTTCTCAGCAGTCCTCATTGTCCACTATGTTCAGCGAGTCCGGTTTTATCCCAGGCTTTTTCAGACCCAGGCCAGCTGGCCTTGGTGAGTTCCTGATAGAACATCCCCCATTGTCTCAGTGTGTGGGTACCCCTCGCGGTCCTGATTTCCTTGCTCGTGCTCTCTCTCCTTCTGCTCCTAATTTGGACCTTGAGATTTCAGTCCGGTGCTCCAATGTGGGTCTCTGTCTCTGTCTCCTTTCATTGCCTGATGAAGGTTAATATTCAGGAGTATCAGGCATGATCTTCAAGTCAGCATGATCTTCCTCCTTTGCCAATTTAGATGCTGAAGAACAAGGGATAGTTGCTCAATCTCAGTGAAGCAGCTGAGAATAATGAGGCCCCTGCTTGTTAGCTGAGGTCACCGGCAAAGCCCTGTCAGGATCCATTCTTGCTACTGCAAGAACTCACATAGCTGAAGGAATTATGACACTTCTCCAGTGGTTCAGAATGACTCATCCTTGGGCCCCCTACCTCTGGACATTGCCTCAAGTCCCTGGTAATCCTCATCAATGTACCATCTGTCCTATCCTTACCATTTAGTTATCTGTTATCCTCAATTTCCTTGGAGCACTGACATCCACTTCCAAGCCATACCTGGGTCCTAGAGCTGATATTAAAGTTTAAGAAGGGACCCAGAAAGAGTTTCAAGTGCCAACTTGTATGGGACTGACTGTCAGAAATCCTGCCCAGACATAAAAGGCACAGGGATAGAAGTGGGGGTGGGGGCGGGGAAGGAGTGGTCTCCATCAGCTAACTTCTTAGCCGACCATCCCCTTTCCTTACAGTTCTCAGACAGAAACTCCAGGAAGTCTGATAAGGTCATTCATTCTTCAGGGGTCCTAATCTAAAACCATTTCTGACCACAGTAATCCAGTTTGCAAATGGGAGGGAATTTGATCAGAAGTTCTGCTCTTCCTAGGCACTCTCTCACTGGTGCTCTCTTCTGGCCTCTGTAAGCACTATATCCACATGCACAACTTGTCTGCATCCAACCCCCAACAGACACATAATTAAAAATAAAATCTTTTCTTAAAAACACCATTCTATTCTTGGAGGCTGGTCTGGCCACTCTCTTCATAAGCGGTGAGGTTTGACTGTATTTTCCTGGTTCTGTCCCTGTGATGAATTCTTCACACAGCGAGAGAAGCTAGGAGGATGGTTAGCATGAGATGGCTGACTGCTTCCTCAAGGAGGCCTTATCCCTGGCATGACACTAGACTGTCGTTGTCTACAGTGGAGACCACCCTGTCAGGAAGGGGTTCTGCCTAACTGTCTGGACCCTCTAAGCAGCAAAGCAGAGAGAAAAAGCAAAAGGCAACAGCGGATAGAAGTGTGAAGTAAATACATTCATGTGCCTTCTTAAGAGGATACACCTAGTAAAAAATATCAACACACTTCATAGAGAAAAGGCAGTATCCTTACTGCAGAGGCCTTATAAGGGAATAAAGGGGAGAATTTTTTTTATGGGGATAGATGTGAGCAGAGACATATAAAAATGACAAAGCAAATGATTGATTAAAAAACATCAAAGTCCAACAACAGAGAGATTCAGGGTATCTTTTAGGGGATGTCACTCATCAGACTGAAACTCTTACAACTGCAGTGTTACAAGGCCTGGTGGTTACAGGCTTGTAATCCCGGCCACTTGAGAGATTAAGGCAAGAAGACAAGTTCAAGGCAAGCCTAGGCTACAGAGGGAGTTCAAGTATGGTCTGAGCAACTTAGTGAGATCACATCTCAAATAAATAAATCAACAAATAAAATTAATGGGATATAGCTCAATAGAACAGGCACAAGGTCCTGGATTTAGTCCCCAGCACTGCAAATAAAAACAAAAACAAACAAAAAACAACAACAAAATAAAATGCCCCGAGGGACTGGCAAAGATGTCATGAGATGGAGACTGGGCAAATGAAGCTTGAAAGTGGTTGTGGGGAGGAGTCCTTAAGGGCTAGTGAGGGAATTACCACAGGAAGGAAACAGAGCGCTTGCCTCGATGTTCAAGGCCCTGAATATGATTCCCAGCAATGATGAAGGGGGGAAGGAAAGGGGACAGAGGAAAAGGAGGAACAAGAGGGAAAATGAAAGAAGGGAAGATGATGAGGAAGGAGCTGTAGGAGGGGAGAGGGCGGAAGAAAGGAATAAGAAAGAAATTTGTTTTTATAGGTATTTTGTTCATAGAGGAACTGTTCATGTCATTGTATTATGTAGAAAATTCCAAAATCATAACTGATAGAAAGCATGAAATCAATTATGTGTATGAGTGCACACTGCATATAGTAAAATACATAGTTGGATCAAAATGTATATATAAAGATTGTTAGGAATTTTCTCTGCATTTTGTAAGATCTCCAACGATTTGTTTACTTCTTTTTACATTCCATGGTTTTTTTTTTTTTGGTAAATCATATAAAAGAAGAAAATGGTTCTCATGCAATTGCTTCTGATTGCCATCAAATTCACCTTCATTCCTTCATCTCAGTTGCCCTTATTCTAAGATTCTTTTTTAAAATGTGCTTTTATATTTTGCTTCCACATATGTCTGTGTGAGGGTGTCAGATTCTCCTGGATCTGGAGGTACAGACAATTGTGAGCTGCCATGTGGTTGGTGGGAATTGAACCCAGATTTCTGGAAGAGCAGCTAGGGCTCTTAGCTGCTAAGCCATCTCTCCAGCACTTCAGAATCTAACTTTAACTTTCTTACACTAAGGCTGACCATTCCCATAAACACTTTGTGTGTCAGACTTGAACACATACCACAGTCTGGTTTAAGTGACCTGTGGAGATAAGTTAGCACTTAGCATTTGTTTTGACGGGGTGGGGGTGATGTTCATAGGCATCTCTACCACACCTACCTGTCACATACCTGCCCTAGAGGTGCCAGACACTGGGGTATCTGTTGAGAACCAAGGTCAACGTGACCTAAGATGAGTCTGCACTGTGCACATTCTTTTTGTCTGTCCTCGGCAGGAGCAAGTCCTTCCATCTGAGAGTTATTTTAACTTATATTTAAATCATTTTAAAGAGACAGTTTTTGTGAAGTTAAGGATATGACTCCAATTGAGACAGACAGATCAATGGAGCCGTATTGAGTGTCCACCCTCTGCCCACTGTGAGGCTAGGTTTCTCATGTGTCTTAGAAGTAAGGAGCGAAGAAATAAGTTGGCCTTTGACAGTGTGATTAAAACACTGTAAATCTGCCAGGAGCCAGGGTGTGGGGTAAAAAGCAAAAGGACTTAAACCAATGGCAGACTTCAAAGGCAACTCTTCTGCTCACCAGCTTTGTGGTTTGGGGGACTTAATTTCTCAGAGTTGCAAATCCTCCCTGCTGTAAAGTTGGGCGAGGGGAGCATATCCCAGACCTCCCCCAACTCTATTGGGAAGCATTCATCAGGACCCTGCCTCCAGAGGGACCCAGCAAAGAACCTGTGTACCCTTGGTCTTTGCCACTTTCCAGGGGTTACTACTTAGAATGCACAAGGCCAGTTTGTTGGGAAATCTACAAGGAAGAAGTCAAGCTGCCAGAGAGTTGACAACTATAGACATAACCCTGCCAACTACCTGCAACATGTCACTTTGAGCAATTATGCATCTTCCTGGGTATTAGAATATACCTCTGATATATAGGAGCCGGAAGCATCCAATACCCAAGGGAGTGCATGTATCCTGTACGTTGCTCAGAACCTAGCAAAAAATTTATTCTATTACTCAGTTATTTGAGACGTGTTTCTCTTTGTTGTAAATTAAATAGGAATCTAGGGAACAACCTAAAAACCCAAACACAAGAAAATATCTGTTCTTTTCAGCTCATCTGGTTTGCAGCTGGGTAGTTGTGAGGTGTTACCACCCTCCCCACCTGCCCTCTCAGCTGAGAGCTCCTATGGACAGCAACCACATAGGGTCAGGGCTATAACCAGCAAACCTTGGTTATATTGCCATGTGATAATACAATTGTTGCCCCTCTCTTGGCAGGTCCTTCAAACCGGACTTCATCCTGGTTCGACAGCATGCCTACAGCATGGCCCTGGCTGAGGACTACCGCAGCCTGGTCATCGGCCTTCAGTATGGAGGGCTTCCTGCTGTCAACTCTCTCTACTCCGTATACAACTTCTGCAGCAAGCCCTGGGTGGTAGGTGGAAGATAGCCCACGTGGAGGGAACTGGGGAGCATGAGGTGGTCTCCTAGCCTGTGTCATGAGAAGGAAACAGGCCATGGTTTTGACAGCAGCAACTTCATTAGCACTCACTATGTCGTGTGCTCAACCCCAATACCCACATCCCAGATATCCCCACTGTACAAAAGAGGAAGCTGAAGCCCTTGTAGCTGGCAGTAAGTGCTCCAGCTCTTCTTCAAAACCCACCAGCTTAGCTATGGAGTGATACTCCCTCTCTGAACTCCAATGTCTTTGTCTATAAAATGAGGGCTACCCCTGAACAGTTCTACAAGCCTTTGGAATGACTCTGTTCTTTTTTTTTTTTTTTTTTTTTTTTTTTCGAGACAGGGTTTCTCTGTTGCTTTGGTGCCTGTCCTGGAACTAGCTCTTGTAGACCAGGCAGGCCTCGAACTCCCAGAGATCCGCCTGCCTCTGCCTCCCAAGTGCTGGGATTAAAGGTGTGTGCCACCACCGCCCAGCTTGGAATGACTCTGTTCTGTGTTACATGTGTGGGCTATCCCCCAAGAATGCACAGAAGCCCAGTATAAATCAGGCATTTCCCCAGCTTCCTTATTTCTTTGTCTAAGATCCTGGCATTTTCCTGGCACAGAATGTGGTTCTTCTTCTAGCCACCATGTACCTGTGTTTGCAAAGTCCAAGTTGTCCTTCTGGTATCCACCTGTAATTCTCCTTGGCCTTCTGAGTAAGATCCTAGCCTAGCCTCTTAAAGCTCATGATGACCTGTGATAGACCACCCTTTGCCTGCTTCCTCACCATCCCCCTGCACCTGAGGCCACAGCCATGGAAGCCATTGAAGGCCTTCAAAGACAGTCATCTCCTTCAACACATGGAGTACCCTTCTTCCTCTTATAGGCTAGGTACAACAAGCCTTCCTGATAACCCATGTTCTCCTCTATGTCCCAAATTCCCCATTTGCAACACCTTTGCATCTCAACCTTGTAGCATTGCCTGTCTTCCACTAGACATGGCCTGGCAGATTTGGAGTGTTGTCCAAATCATCATACATAATGCCAGATGGCACTGTGTGATGACCACTGGATCTGACCCTTACTCTGGAAGCACAAGCTAATATGAGGCCCAATTAGGAAGTAAGAAACAAGTGATGCACAGTGGGGACCTGTCTGCTTGTTCAGAATGTATAGAGTTGTAAAAGCAGAAACATTAATCACCCCCATGAACTAGGCAGTAGTGTCCTAGCAATCCAGTGAGTGAGATTTTTTTATATATATTCTCCATTTACAATTTAGGAAATGGGTTTCTGAACCTGCCCCTCCAGGTCTCAAAGCTAGTAACAGTAAAAATCTGAATGAGAGTGTCTGGACTCAGAGTGACTATCATGAAATACCTATAATGCTATCCTCGAAATACAGGCATTGCAGGCATAGGATGGCAGAACCCCCAACAGGTTGTGCTGGGGACAAGGACCTTGTGTGAAATGGCTGAGCATGCTGTTAAGTGCTCGTAAAATGTAGTTGGACTGTGAAGCCAGTGACCTGCCTACCTCCCGGCTCAGGGGCAGGCACAAGGGGGGGGGGGAGAGAGGGTGACACCCAGCCAAGGAAGTTGGCTTTTTATCCTAGCTCCTAGCGGTGAGCAACAGCTTCTAGAACTCAGCTCAGGACAGATGCTAGAAGGTCAGGATCGAGTGGGAAACCCTGACTGGGTAATGGATGAGCTCTCCTTTTCTCTCCCAGTTCTCTCAGCTCATTAAGATCTTCCATTCTTTGGGTCCTGAGAAGTTTCCACTCGTGGAGCAAACATTTTTCCCCAACCACAAGCCAATGGTGAGTGCCTTTTTTAATCTCTGCTTATCTTCGTGATGTGGGATGACCTTACTTGTCTGTCTCCTGAGTCTCTGGGCAGCTCACAGCTTGCTCCCTGGTTATCTGGTCTCCACATAGGAGCCTTCATGTCCTGTGCTTGTGGAAATGTCTAGTGTTCCCTGGGGGAAGGTTCGGCTTCTCCAGGGGAGTTTCAGGCAGTAGGGCAAGTAACAAAGGTACTCGGCATTCTGTGAGACACATCTAATGACGCCTTAAGCTGGCATCCTTGGAATCAGAGGTTGAATATAGAGGGCAAAAATATTTTTATAGTAAAATGTTACCTTCAGCACACTTTTTCATGGGACTGGTTTCTACTGTAATTTTAATAAAACGTGCTATTTTATTTAAGCTGATTATTAAAGAACAATGTGCTTATATGTTCAATTTCCATTCTTTGAAGTGCACCTGTGTTATCTCTAGGAGTCTACTAGGGCCAAGCTGAGAGTCTGTAACTTTACTACTATTTGGAAGGTCTAATGCCTACGGTTAGAATTTTGGTAGAAGAGTTTTGAGCTGCTGGAATCAGCCTCCATCGTGCCTGCTTATGTGATTGGTGCATGGTCAGCTCACTTGGCCTTGCATGAAATAGGAATCTCAGGGAGCAAGAGTAATGTACTCATGGTACTAGGGACTGTGGTCTGATTGTAGAATCTCAGACTCTGACTGTTGAACTGGACAAGCCTGTTTGAAGACACTGCCAGGTAGGACTGCAGGCTTCAGTGGAAGCAATCTAGTCAATCAGAGGCTCTTGCTGGTTGTCCGTCTACTGTATCTACCTGTCACTCCCAGAATTTAGGATGTCTGAGACTCTCATTGGGGTTGTCCGTCTACTGTATCTACCCATCTGTCATAGAATCCATGATGTCCGAGGAACTTATTGGGGTTGTCTGTCTACTGTATCTACCTATTACTCACAGAATCCATGATGTTTTGGCTCTCATTGGGGTTGTCTCTCTACTGTATGTACCCATCAGTCACAGAATCCAGCGTGTCTGGTTGGTCTGAGTGGTGTAATGGTAAATCTGAATTATTAATTTGATTGGAATGAAAAACACACGGATTACTTTCTCAGTGTCTGTCGGGGTCTTTCCAGAGAGGATTAACTGATCCAGGAAAGACCAACTTGAAATGTGGGAAGCACTATCTGTGAAGACGGGGGCCCAGATGGGATTAAAGGAAACGGAGGAAGGCTGGGGTTTAGGTATTCTCTTTTACTTCTGGTCTGCCATGATGAAAGCTGCTGGTCCTATCACAACCTCCTGGGCACAGTGAACTAAGAACCAAAGCAAAATAAATCCCCCCCCCCCACAAGATATTTCTCCCGGGTATTTGATCACTACAGTGGCAAGGTATGAATAACACGGAAAATGCATAAACTAAGAAAGTTCACGGTTTGCCTTTAAAGTGGATGGTTACTAATCACCACTCTGACTAGATTTTAGACAAGAATTTAGTCTCATTGAGAGTGGTAGAGAAGCAGGTTGATAAAGGTCTGTGAAAGTCTATGTTTAATGTTGTGCCTGGCATATGGTGGGTGCTCAGAGGGGAGGATCTTTCAAACAGGGGCAAAGACCATGACCTGGAACACTGGCGAGGGAGGGCTCACAGTTAGGTGGTCCTATGTAGTGGAGAGTAGCTCACTGAGTGCTGGCAGGAGCTCCCCAGTTGTCCTAGGGCCTCATGAATTCCTGGAATTCCCAACTATGAGCTTCACTAAGGGTTTTATTTATACCGCCAGCATCAACTATGGCTGCCGGCAAAGCTTCCACTCCCACACTGGTCTTGGAATTCTCAGGGGGAAAACATGAGTTAGGCTGAGACAGGTCCCAGCCCTGTTCACCCACAGGTGATTAGATAAAAAAAAATCTTTTGAACACTGGATCCTGCCAGTAGAATGAAGGAGTGAAATTCATGCTGGGTTAGCAGCCAGAAAGAGCTAAGGATACTCTTTTGTTGCCATGAAAGGGGTTTAGTTAAGGTGGCCCGAGCTGTAGACATGGGTGGAAGGGGGTTGTGTGAGGAGTGTGGAGGAGGACAGGTAGAACGTGCTTGCCAGATCCTTTTCGATACCAATATCATCCACCACGACAGGACACAAGAAGGCAAGAGACAGCAGGTGTGTGATAGAAATAAAACCACTTTACTGTTTAGAATAAAGGACACACTATAAAAAGTGAACATTATGCAACATTACAAGACAATATACATTCACGGAATATAAAATTCATAAATAACATGGAGGAAAACTGTAAACAGTGCTACAAAATTTAGCAACAAATACATTCCTTCTAGACAGGGTTTTCTCTGGTTGGTGTCTCTTCGTCATTACTGGGCTTCAGCGCAGCCAACTGGCTAGAGGAAAAGTAGTCATAGAGAATCTAAGGTACCCCTGTCATCAGAGCATGGTCATGTTCTTAGGTCCTCTCCTCCTCAATCTAAATAGCCAACTTAAGTCTGTTGAGACCACCTCTCCTGCCTTTTCCCATTTCATTGTGCTTCTGCCATTAGATTAGATTTTTTTTAAAAAAATTTTTCTCTGATACAAATACTAGAGCGATGTTTTTAACTTTAAGTAGCTGGGAGCCAACCACCTACTGCCCCTTGGCGTGAGGCAAGGAAGGGCAATGCTTCCTGGACCCACATTTTTCTCCCAGAAAGATCTATCCCCAAAAGTCATTGTGTGTCTTTTATTGTTTAAGAAGCACAACATGAAACAGGGTTTGTTTGGCAGGGTTAGGACTGGAGAAGGTAGGTACTGGGGTTTCTTTCCGCTCCCCACCCTGGCTACAGCAGAGTGCTATCCTGGGAAGCAAAAGTCTATGTATAAGAAAAGATGCCTGGGTGAGACAAAGAGAGCTTGGTGTCACAGTTGCCATGGTCACGGACTTTGCAGAAACCATAGCTTCCTGAATGAGCAGGAGAAAGGGTCTTGGGAAGTGGGTGGCAGGTGACCCAGGGGTAGCTGATATGAGGACGTCAGTGCGCTTTTGTTTCTGTTTTGTTTTCTTCTTCTCCTTCCCACCCTTGGGATTCCACGGGGGGAGGAGGCTGGAGGAGGCTGGAGGAGGCTGCTTCTAGTACCTTCTATTTCCTTGAACTCCAGTCTAGCTGAATGCTTGCATCTCAGTATTCTACCCTCCATTCTACTGTAGAATTTGAATCAGGAAAAGGCATGGGGGTTCCTTTCTTTCTTTCTCTTTCTTCTCTTAGACACAGTGTACACTGACAGCCTACGCATGGCACACGATTTTAGCAAAATAAAACATTCATGATATGATTGAAATACCAAAGTGTCTCGGCTACATAAATGATTTTAAATTATACAGTAAGTGAACAGGTGAAATAAACAAAGCTATAGCTTATAGAAAGCTCAAAAACCTCCCTCCGATGACGTGACTTTCCAGAATCCCTCCTCGTCCAGGACTTCTTGCCAGGGCCTCCACAGCCAACTGTGGCCACGGTTCTGCCATCTGATTAATGGGTTAGCATCAGGTGTCTCACCCTCAGGCCTCACCTTAGGTTTCTCCCTCTAGGAGTGAGGTTATTACACAGGGATTGAGAATGGCTAAAGGCCTCTTGGAAGAGACACGTGTGCGCACATGGGAGAGCACTTGAGCTGGGTAAATCGGGAGCTCCTTGTTAGGAGACTCTAAGGTTGAAGCAAAGAACCCCAAATAATATGTCACCCCTTAAGAACCACTGGCTTGCTCTCCTCTTGCTCCACATCATGGAAAGGGTGAGCACAGGGGAAATGAAATCAACCAAGTGGAAACTTGACACCCATCGCCTGAACTGTCTTCCTGCAGGTGTATGTGGGGTGGGGTTGGGGGGCAGACGCTGGAACGTGTTGGCTTCTCTCTCTCTTTCTACTTATAATTGGTAACTACGTCTCCTAATGTGGAATGAACTGAAGATATGATACTAATAGAGGATAAATACCCATAATCTGAAAAGAGACAGAGTAACTGTTAAATGTCACCACCTCACCACCTCAGACTCTGTAAAATACACATTATCATCTACTATCGGCAATGCATTTTTGACACTAAAACTTAAAATAATCTTATTTAATAGGAAACTTTATATTATAGTTTTATTTTAAAAACAAAAATACAACACAACAAGAGGCCTATAGTTTGATGGCAGAGCCTGGCTCCCTCAGTGACCAACCTTGTTCATTCTGAGAGGTGACCACCTCAGGAGGTAATGTTCACCCACTCCTGAGCTGGGGAAGAAGAGTATGCTGTCCCCAGATCCAGGAGAGGAGGCATTCCACCGAAGCAGGATGCTATGCAACTGTCCCTCTCGTGTGGAGACCCCCTAACCTACTCTCACACTCACCTGCCATCAGATGGCCAGTAAGGCAATTAAGTGAAGGGCACCCAAACACTAAGCAGAAGGAAGAAAGGAGGTGAGAGGTCAGATGACCCCAGTTATAGGGACAAGAGGGTGTTGAGGGTTTTTGGAGTTTCAAAATTTTAATTCAAATGGAAAAAAAAAGTCAACTTGGAATGTCACAATTTCCCATCAAACAATAAAAAGAAAAGAGATTAAACGATTCGCATATTTAACAGCATTGAATAGAATTCTGTGTCCTATAAAAATTAGCTCATAATCCCCTATGGGTATATGAAAATGTGTATATAAACACGTCCCCCTAGATGAGCTAAACACTACTTTGGAAATAGTATCCTCTCCCCAGGTCTACTTGACTATATCTGTGGATAGTGTCTGGTGTGTGTTTCTTCAGATTACACATTGGCAAGCTTTGAGCCAAACTTCCCTAAGAATTCCCAGGAGGATGTCTCATGGGAGGCAGGAAAGAAAAGATGTTCGTCCCAACACTTTGTCTGAATTTTTGTACAGACAGACATGTTGAACTCGGGCAGATGCTTAAGTCTTCATGAACTCAGAAAGCTCTATTACTCTGACATATGCTTGCTCCGGGATTGAAACATCTA